ATGTCACTTGCTATCTGATCCTTCCAACTCCAGATCCTGGGTTTGAACTATGATCTTCTGCATGCTATTTTTGTAATCTACCTATTGGCAATGGCTACTCAAAAAGGATATCAATTTGGGGATTTGTTAAGGGGACACAGAGAGTTCTACTGCATGCACCTTTCATTTAATATCTAATTTCAGATATTAAGTCTTAAAACTAAAGATTTTAGAAATATCAGAGACCATGGCAGTTATGGAGGATCTCAGACAAGTCCTTCCTTGTTAACGCATAATCAATCATCTATATCATTAAATCAACCTGTGGGTAAGCATGCTGGCTGGGGAATTCTGGGAGTTGAAGTCCACACATCTTAAAGCTGCCAGGTTTGAAAAATACTGGTCTAAATGGTCTCTTTCAACTCCACGATTGCCCTATTAAGAACCTGTCTACGATAGACAGAGCTAGTACAACCAGCAATCCCACTTGTGTGCCCATACTAAGTATATTGAACTCTTGCACAAAGGTAGAAGTGAAAAATGCACTTCTGGAATAAAAATCTAATTTCCTAGGCATCTCAGCCTTCTAGAGAAAATGTTTATATCCTACAGATCTGCACAGGCAGTACCTCAATATGTTTCTGACATTGTGGAGAGAAATAAATCAGAATTTCAGCACTTGTGTTATGGGTGTTACTAGCTCTTCTACCAGACCAGAAAAGCTGGAATAAATTGTATGAACATATTTTAAAAAGAAGTTTTCATCTCTTTTTTTCTTTGCACACTTGTTTAATCTCCATTAGTTATACATGCAGCAAGATTCAGCTTGTCTGGGAGCTTTGACAGCCTGGCACAGATTTGGATTTTAGTTTATTATTAATTATTAAATTCTACACCAGTGTCTGGTGCCTATGACTAATAGTTGCCCATTTCTGCCTGATGTAGGCAGCTATGTGGTAATCAGCAGACATGCTAAGAGCTCCCTACATGTAGATATTTAACCAGAAACACCAGAGACCTAATAATTACTCTATTAATAGTGACTAAGTGGCAGACGGAGCTTTGTGCAGACCCTAAAAACACAGCCTGCAACCAAACACCACTTGGCAGTCAGTAGAAATGTTCAAGCAAACCAATTTGCTGACCTGTCAGAGCAGGTATTACCTGACTCAGGGCATAATTGCAAGATCACAATAGCCCAGACCCTGGACTCATGCACCACAAGCCACACACAAGAAGATGCTTTCCCTCATCTACAGCAATAGCCACTAGCTCATCTCAGGCACATAATAGGTGTCCCCAGGTTATGGCAATTCTCAGATACTCTACAGAAGTGTTTCTCAACACTTGGGAACTTTAAGATGTGTGGACTTCAATTTCCAGAATTCCCCAGCCAGCCATGGGAGTTGAAGTCCACACATGTTAAAGTTCCCAAGGTTGAGAAACACTGCTCTAGACTTTTAGCTAGTGGGTGATAGAGTGGTTGAGATGTTGGGCTAAGTCCAGAAAGACCCAGATTCAAATCCCCATTGATCCATGGATCTTAACTGGATGATAATGAGTCATTCATTCTTCCTCAGCCCAGCCTAGCTCATAGATTGAGGTGGAGATAAAATCAGAGGAAACCCTTGAGTGGGATATAAATGTAATATATAAAAACACTGGGACTGTTCAGAATGGCTGCAAATAAACACAGGAACAAGAGTCTGTATTCAGTGGCTAGAAGCTTGAATTCCAGCTACAGCAGGGATTGAGATGTGCAAGAGGTTAGTATATAGGTAGTCCTCATTCAGCAACTGCCTCATTTAGCAACCATTCACAGTTATGATGGTGATGAAGAAGTAACTTTATGACCAATCCTTGCATTCATGACCTTCGCAGGTCTGTAAACCAAAAGAAATCTGAAGTAAGATCTTAGTGACTGCTTCGCTTAACGACCGAGTTGTTGGTCCCAATTGTGGTCGCTAAACAAGGACTACCTGTATTAACTAACTTCTCAAGTCCTAGTGGGTACCATCCTACCCCATCAGTGTAATCCTGGCACCAGACCTGACTCAGAATTCAGAATTTCCCATTCAACTCAAAGAGGGGGAAAAGGGGGAAGACAACATGTTTGAAAGTGCTATGCTTTCAGAAGAGCAACTGTAATTTTTTTGCCAAGTTAAAAGTTTCAGTTTCCTTTGGATTGGAACGAATTCATATAAAGAACAGACAAATATAAAAAGTATGAAATACAGCATCTTGAAGTTCTGGGTACTCCCCCCGGCAGTCCTTTCAAAACTGCTGGAACAGTATTCTCAAAGTTATCACAAAACTGTCTGTAGAATGGTTTTTGGAAAAAATGCTTCCAGATGCAGCTTGAACAATTTGCTAACCTCTTGTGTGAGTCTTAAACACCATTAATCCTACCACTTGCAACCCCCTCCTGAGCATCATCCTTGCTCCTTGAAGCTTATTACTAGTCTAGCTGGCTTGTGGAGCCAAGTAGGTTGTACAGCGTAGCGAACAACATGCAAAAGAAACATCAGACTGGCTACGAGGTGTGAGATCATTTTAGATGTGACTTAAAAAAAAAAATCCACAAAGTGCATCTCAATGCAGGAGGAAAAAAAAAACATGGACGGCTCAACACAAAATTTCTTCATGCCACTGAGACTCAAATTAGCCCTACATTTGTAGCCTTATATTTCTGGAAACATAATTTATTACACCCCATTTTATTTTTCTACCACGGGCCATGTTGATTAAGTAGAAGTAGCAGACAAACTGATTTTTTTCCAAGCAGCTCTTTCACTGCAGTTGAACAGAACGCCCAGATAGGAATGTCCCAGTCTTCCAGGCCTCAGCTCCTCCCGTCCTCTGCTGCAGTTACTGTGGAAAGGAGACAACCCCCAACAGGGCAGTAGTGAGTGATGCCATTTAATTTCACTCATTCGCAGCTTCAGGCAACTGGAATGCAGGGATGCGTGTGCCTGCCAGGTTAACTACCAATATGTTTCTTTGGCTTCAGTTAAACATCTCTCCAGCCTTCAGAAACAGACAGCCACCAAGTTTCCTTGTGCCTAGTCTGCCACTTTGCCCATATTACAGAAGAGACTTCTCTTGGTGGGAGAGGGGATCAAAACCAGCCAGTTTCTTCTCCTTTCCCAGAGCTGCATGTATGATTTAGACTTTAGGAACGTGCTTGCTTGTCTCTCAAGCAGACTTTCTCTTCCATCCTATTCAGCACTTAGTAGCAGAATACAAGCATCCAGACTTAGATCTTCCTCTTGGAAAGCAGAAGAAAGGCTTTTATAAAGGGTTTGAGAGCATTCAGTGTTTATTTAAGTATTCATTATATCTAATCTGAACAGGCCTCTAGGCAACATACAATTCAAGCTAAAGCAAAAACCTTAATACTAAACTGTGACACATAAAACAGGATACAACATATATGGATCCAAACCAGCCAAATGCACATCTGAACTTGCTAAAAAAAAAAAAAACAGCTTGGGACACATTTCTGTAGTTCAGTCATTCCCTAATCTGGGAGCTACTGCTAAGAAGAAAATCCTGCTTAGGATCCCCCCCCCCCCAAATACTTATCTTTTAACCAATACAAACATCGTAAC